GTTAACAATAACAATTTATGTTTAATTGGCCTTTCATTTAGAAGGTAAAAGTATAAGAAATTGGATTCAGACAATGAACACCGACTGTGATGCAAATGGTGCATTTTTATCTGTTTTCATTTATTGGAATCTTTCCTGCTGGTCATCACAGATGGAATTTTTAAAAAATCAATTAAGCTTTGCTATTTATTTCAAGGTGTGTGGAATATACACACTGGGAGGGTGAGATAAATCCAATAACATGTCTCTGTGACATTATCCTGCCGAACAGGAGGGAGATGAATTCAGAGTGATTGGTGTCAGGTGTTTTCTGTCCTCAACTGAAAATGTGAAAAAAACAAAAGAGAGAAATGCACTCACACAGCAGCTTTCATGGTATCAGGACATCCCAAAGCACTTAACAGCTAATTAATTACTCCTTTGAAGCAAAGATATGTGGGCACTGCAGCAACAAGTTTGGAGGCATTGAGGGTATGGATACAGGTTGAATCACAGAATATGTACCATCTGGAAGCAGGCCATTTGGCCCATCATGTCTGCACCAACCGTCCAATGAGTATCCTTCCCAGACCCACCTTCCTACCCTGTGCCCCTAACCCTGCATTTCCCATGGCTAACCCACCCAGCCTGCACATCCCTGGGCACCATGGGCAACTTAGCATGGCCAATCCACATAGCCTGCTCATTTTTTGACTGCGGGAGGAAACCGGAGCACCCAGAGGAAACCTACTCAGCCACGGGGAGAATGAACAAACTCCACACAGACCAAGGATGGAATCAAACCCGGGTCCCTAATTCTGTGAGGCAACAGTGCTAACCACTGAATCACTGTGCCACCCAAAACATATGGCCAGCCCAACTGAGTTTCAGATCAATTTTACTCCCCCAGGATGCTGATAGTGGGGGATTTAGTAATGATAACATCATTGATCATCAAGATTGTGGTCCTGATCTCATAATCCAGTGCCTTCAACAAAGGAGCCAGAGACATGAGTTTCAAATCTCACTGTGACAGCTTGAGAATCTTACATTTACGTCATTAAACCATATGTGAATTAAGAGATAACATCAGTAATGATGACCATAAAACAATTTGATTGTTATAAAAGCGTATCTTATTCACTAATGCCCTCTAAGGAAGGGACATCAGATTCCCCGATATCCCCTAAAATAGTCTCCAGCCACACAGGATTGGGAATGACTTTGAAATAGCTTAATGAGCCTTTCAGTTGTATTCAAGGGGAGAATTAATGTCAACTTCCTTAAGGGTAATTAAGGATGGGCAATAAATGCAGTGTTAATGAAGTGAAATAAAGGGTTCCACACACAGATTAGAGATAATGGCTGGATTATGTGATAATAAGGTGTAGAGCTGGATGAACACAGCAGGCCAAGCAGCATCAGAGGAGCAGGAAGGCTAACATTTCGGATAATGATGATCAGGTCTTTGAATTTAACTCCCCATTCTCCTTCACAATTTTTCCATGCAATACGTTACATCCATCTGTGTGGGATGTTGTGACATCTGTTGTATGATAGCACCTCAATGTGAGCAGCAGCCCCTCCCATGGCATTGGGACTGTTGGTGTTGGTTTGGTGATTTGCTGTGTGACTTGTATATGTGATACCCTGTCTTGGAGATAAGAGTCCTGGAAGTAGAGCCACAGCTGGTTGGAGGTAGCCTTCCATTTGCAGACTGTGAGTGGTGGAGGTAATGTAGTGCTCCAAGCACACTTATAGGGTTTTCCTAATGGCTTGGCCTCAGCTACAGCCATAAGCACCCCAACAGTTCCACCTCTATAATGGTGCCTGCACCCTTGGATTCATTTTATATTAAACCTGAAAAGTTTATTCTGTCGGCCCCTCCAACCTGAAGAACCCTTTCCCTCTCACATCTGTGAGTGCAAATTACTAATTCATAGAATCCTTTCAGTGAGGGAACAGACCATTTGGCCGATCAAATCCACACTGGCGCTCCAAAGAGCATCTGACCCAGACTCAGCCTCATCCTGTCCCTGTAACCCTGCATTTCCTGTCGCTAAGACATCTGGCCTGCACACTCTGGGACAATTTAGCATGGCCAATCCACCTACCCTGCACATCTTTGGACTGTGGGAGGAAACCAGAGCACCTGGTGGAAACCCACACAGACATGGGGAGGAACGTACAAACTCCACACAGATAGTTGCCCAAGAGCCGATTTGAACCTGGGTCCCTGGCGCTGTGAGGCAGCAGTGCTAACCACTGAGCCACCCTGCCACCCCCTAATTCTTCTGAGCTAGAGGGTCTTCTGCTCTCCCTCCAGTTTTGAAATTCATCCTAATAGAAAACAAAATACTTCAAATACTGGAGATCTGCAGCAAAAACAGAAACTCAGCAGATCTGATAGCATCAGTGTGAAGGATAAAATTTCGAGTCTGGTGACCCTTTGTCAGAACGGAGGCTCATCCAGCCTTCCCCAGTTGCGTGGCAAAACCCACTCTCTGGTCACTAATTGACAAATTGGTGAGAATCACAGCTGAGTGACTGTTCTCAGGCATGACAAGTATCCAATCTCTACTGGAGCCCGATGATAGTACATTGAGGTGGACATACCCTGCCCTGAGGAAACTATTCAAAAAGGGATAAGTATGTTCAGAAAAACATAGTAACGCCCTGATATCTTGGGCAAGCGCTGGGAAACAGAGGCAGCATATTGATTTTGACTTCATGTGGATGGTACCATTCTTGGTGCACACAGCTTAGCAGTACAGTACGTCATTGCATGGGAAACAGTCTGCTCATGTGGCATAAAGGCACAAGGAACTGAAAGGGTTAATGCAGAGGAGTGCATTAAGCATTGCTCACTATGACAATATGGCATGGACTTACAGTCAGAGCATCTTAGGACAGCAATGGAGTGAGGCCTACCATATTGTACCTCCTCTTTGTCACTGAAATGGTGTCTATGATGTTCGTACATGTGTCTATTTACTAGCATATAATAAACTCCAAGTAGGTTTTTTTAAATTAATTCACTGGATGAGGGAATTGCTGACTAGCCCAGAATTTATGGCTCACCCTTAATTACCCAGGAGTAATTAACAGTCAACCACATTGCTGTCATTTACAGGCCAGACCAAGTTCGAATGGAAATTTCCTTCCCTGAAGGGCATTAGTAAACCAGATGGGTTTTTCCCCCAACAATTGGCAATGGATTCACCAGATTCTTTCCTCTTAACTTTAACTCCCACTACCTGCTGTAGCAGGAATTTGAACCCAGGTCCCCAGAACATTACATGGGTCTTTGGATTAACAGCCCAGCGATAGTGCCACTTGGCCATCACCTAGCTATGTTAGTAAAGCAGCCTCTTCTTATTTAGCCACCAAATAGTGGCTGCTATTGATTGTCTGGTCACAAATGTTGTTTAAGGAAGGAAATCTGCCATCCTTACTTGGTCTGGTCTACATGTGACATCAGATCCAAGAAATGTAGTTGACTCTTAAGTTCTCTCTGGGCAATTAGAATTGGGCGATAAATGCTGACCTAGCTAATGACATCCACATCCCATACATGAATTTAAATAAAAGGGAGAAGGATCAAAAGCAGAAATTGTTGGAAAAACTCAGCATATCTGACAGCATCTGTGGAGACAAAGTAGAACTGGGCTGATGAAAAGTCAACTGACTTAAAACATTAATTCTGATGTCTCTCTGTTGATACTGAGTTTCTCCACCAATTTCTATTCTTGTTTCAGATTTCCAGCATCTGTAATCCTTTGTTTTATTTAAGGGGACAAGGATACCCTCTTTCCCCAGCGTGGCTCTTTAGACACTGATCATCAAAACCAAATTTCGCTGCACCCCAACGTTGACGGTCTTCACTTGGAGGAGTCAGATATTCAAACTCCTTTTGTGGCCCTTCCTTTAAATGCACAGAAATGCTACTTAAATGCCACAAGAAATGGTTAAGGTCAAAACATTGCAAGCCTTCGAGAAGGAGTTAGATACAGTTCTGAAGGATGAAAGGGTGAAAGCAGGAACAAGGTCCTGAATGGACCAAAAAAAACAGAAATTGCTGGAGAAATTCAGCAGGCCTGGCAGCATCTGTGCAGAGAAAACAAGAAAGTGATAATATGTCTGGGAAAAAGAAAAGCTGAAAATGGGGATCCTTTGTCTGCCAAACTGTCATTCTCTCTGGGCTCCAAGCCCACCTATTCATTCACACCTTCCCCCACAACCGCTCCCCTCCCCTACCCACACCTATCCCATATCTTCAGCATATATAACACCTTTTCCAAACTCTTTTCAGTTCTGAAGAAGGGTCACTGGACTTGAAACATTAACTCTGCTTTCTGTCTCCACAGATGCCGCCAGATCTGTTGCTTTTCTCCAGCAAATTTTGCTTTTAGTTCACCTTTCTATCATTCACAATCGTTTGTTTAATTTGAGGATCAGCCATGATCATATTAAATGACAGAGCAGGCTCAAAGGGTTGAATGGCCTGCCTCTGTTCCTATTTTCTATATTCCCATATTTCTTTGAATACTTCCCTGCACCCAATGTTAATATATGCAAAGCACGCAACGTCATTTACTGGGCCAGTACACTAAAAAGGCAAGCAATTTTTTGTTAATGATCGAATGAGGTCAGTAGGGTTAACGAAAGAAGGGAGCAGTCAGATATTAGATGCTTAAGTGGTAATGAGAAAGAAAGTTTTATTCAAATCATGTTAATTTTTATTCAGTCATCCCCTTGTATCTCTGTATATTTAATGTATTTCTCTGTAAACTTTACTGGACCCTGGGCAGGCCAGTCGAGCAAAACCCACAATGTGATCCAGAGTATCTTAATTAACAACTGATTAAATTCACCCCTGCTGTTTGCTGGGTCAGTTTGTGCTGTCACATATGGGTATGAAGATAAAACACAAAAGCTGATATGTTTTGTCAAAGGCAGGTGAAGTTTGGACAAGTACCACTTAGTTAAGGTGTTGAGCGTGCACTAAGGTAGACACTTACCTTTCACCTTCTCTGACAATTGAGATCCAATCCAAGATTGGAGCAATGTTTTCAAAAACTGTGCACGATTATGGTCCCCATACTGAAAAAAAAACAGGAGTTAAAGGTAACAGTGAATCCACAAGAAGATTAACAAGAGTCACACCTGTACTGAGGTAATAACTTTCAGGAATTATTGAGCAGCTGCAAGAAAAGAGAAAGCTGAGGGGTGGTCGAATTGTTGAGAATTACAGAAGGGTCGATAGCATAGGTGTATAAAAGATATCTTTGCATGTCAGGCAATTCAAAATTATGACTCATAATCATATGAGGCTTGCTCATAAATTTAATAAAGTTATTATTATAAATTTAATAAGGAGGCAGTGAGGTGGTGATAACATCACTTGACAAATAATCCAGATTTCTGGGCTAACGTTCTGAGGTCATGAGTTCAAAACCTATCATAGCAGATGGTGAAATTTGAATTAAACACAACTCTGGAATAAAAATCTAGCCTAATGGCGACCATGTGGACACAGTTGACTGCTGCTAAAAGACAGGTAAGTTGGAGAATTTTGCATGTGTTGTAAAATCATTCGATTTTGTGACCACGCTGGTAACAGAGGTGTTTGATTTCTGAAGGTGGTACTTCCAGTGAGACGTAACATGTGCCCTTTTTTGAAACAGTCTAATGGGATCGTTTACGTCCACTGGGAAAACTGGAATCATCATTGCATTTAAAAGACAACATCTCAGGCAAAGCAGCACACCCACAGGAGGCTCCACAGCGCTGAAAATGCCACCTAGTAAGGGGACGAGATGTCTGCTATCAAACCTCCCAGCTCGGCGAACACACCAACAGCTACAACCGAGCTACAAATCTTCACACAACCCTGGGCAAAGCTATTTTTTGTGCTTCGTGGTGGAGCAGTTACTGAAGGTTGGCATGCAGGTGCAACAGGCGGTGAGGTAAGCTAATAGCAAGCGGATATAAGTATTGGAGTAGGGATGTCTTGCTGCAGTTATACAGGGCCTTGGTGGGGCCACACCTCGGGTATTGTGTGCTGTTTTCTAATCTCTGGAAGGACATTCGTGCTACTGAGGGAGTCCAGGAAGGTTCACCAGACTGATTCCTAGGATGGCAGGACTGACATATGAGGAAAGATTGGGTCTATTCTCACTAGAATTTGGAAGAATAAGTGGGGGTGGTGGGAGATCTTGTAGAAACATATAAAATCCTATGGGACTGGACAGGCTGGATGCGGGAAGAATGTTCCCGATGTTGGGGAAGTCCAGAACCAGGGGTGACAGTCTAAGAATAAGGTGTCAGCCATTCTTGATTGAAATGAGGAAGAATTTCTTCACTCAGTGAGTTGTGAACCTGTGGAATTCTCTCCCACAGGAAGCTGCTGGGGTTAGTTTGTTAGATATATTCAAGAGGGAGCTGGACCTAGCTCTTGTGGCGAAAGGGATCAAGAGGTATGGGGAGAAAGCAGGAATGGGATACTGAGATTGCATGATTAATCATGATCATATTGAATGCTGGTGCAGGCTCAAAGGGCTGACTGGCCTACTCCTCACCTGTTTTCTGTGTTTCTATTAGTCTCAAAGCCAGCACTATGTGACTCCATGGTCAAAGACAAAGTGGCACAGCTAAGGGAGAAACCTTGTTTTACACAGCAGGAAAAGTCTTTGTTCTTTGCATAACACTGTACTCAATGCTGTTTTATTACCTACTTAGACAAGCACGTGGAGACTTTGGTTTATTGTATCCTCCAAAACACATATAGGATTGTGCTAAAATGTCAACCTTCATTTCACACTCTGGTTCTGAAGTGTGGATAGCACTAACAATGTTCTGACTTGCCCAGCATAAGTGTTATCAAATGATCCAAACATACAGAAACGCGATTATAACAACTTGCATTTATACAATTCCGTTTATTATAATGGAGGTTCTGAGAGGCTTAACTAAGACTCACTCACACTAATTCTTCTTGTTGGTATTAGCCTGAGTTACTGATACCAAGTAGGGAAAGATCCTCACACAAAGTTTTCAGCAAAAGATAAACTCAATCTAGGTAAACAATCAATGTGTTTATTATAGATTACTTAATAGCTAGTTACGGTCGATCTGGGAGGCATCAGCCTCAGCTTAAGAGTAAGTACACATTACTGTTAATAAAACATTCTCACACTGACTTGGTAACAAATACAGAACTGGTTAACACCTACCATGAGCTGTCATGATGGGTTGAATTTATCTTTACGATGTCAATTCACCCTTTAAGGTCCTAACTGCCTTACAGAACATCTTGTAACAAAGAACCATACAGACCCTTTGGCCCACCAAGCTCGTGCTGACACATAAACAAGAAAAGGGTTCTGAAGAAGGATCACTGGACGTGAAACATTAACTCTGCTTTCTCTCCACAGAAGCCGCCAGACCTACTGAGATTTTCTGCAACTTCTGCTTATGTTCCTGCGCCAACACATGATGCCTTTCTAAACTGAAAACCTTTTGGCTCTAGATCAAAAATCATACAACACCAGGTTATAGTTTAACAGCTTTATTTGAATACACAAACCTTTGGAGTCTCATTGCTCTGAAAACTTATGTATTCAAATAAACCTGTTTGACTATAACCTGGAGTTGTGTAATTTTTGACCTTGCCCACCCCAGTCCAACACCGGCAGCTCCATAACTTTTGCCTCTGTGTTGTCCATATCCCTCTCTTCCCTACCTATTCATATATCTGTCAAGATGGGCCGGCATGGCGGCTCAGTGGTTAGCACTGCTGCCTCACAGCCACAGGGACCCGGGTCCAAATTCAAATATTGGGCAACTGTCTGTGTGGAGTTTGCACAATTTCCCCGTGTCTGTGTGGTTTCCTCCCACAGTCCAAAGATGTGCAGGTCAGGTGGATTGACCATGTTAAATTGCCCAGAATGTGCAGGGATGTGTAGGTTAAATCGATTAACCATGGGAAATACAGGGTTACAGGGATAGATTAGTGGGGGTGGTATTGAGCGGTGAGTCTGGGTAGGATGCTCGTTGGAGAGTCAGTGTGGACTTGTCAGGTTGAATGGCCTGTTTCCACATTGTAGGAATCCTACGCCTCTTAAATGTTCCAATTGTATCCACCTCCATTAACTCCTCTGGCAGCACGTTCCAGACATTTACCACCCTCTGCATAAAAAAATTGCTTTGAACAGCTTCTTTAAACTTACCCCGACTTACCTCAAACCAATATCCCCTAGTAATTGACATTTCTAAACTTATCTCAAAGATGTTTTGAAAAGTTCTATGCTCTGTCTGCAACATTCAATGAGGAACAGGTACTCAGACAAGAAAGGCGACATTTGGCTTAGACACTTTGGTTTGGCCAAAGGAGGATCATAAAGGAGCAAGGAGAAAGAACTGGAGTGAAGTAGGGAAGCTATTCCAGGTCTTAGTCAGCTGAATGCATGGCTACCAGTAATGGGACAGTTATTGAGTGAAGAAGAGGTTGGTGTTGGAGGAATACAGAGGTGTTGAATGTTTGTAGTATAGAAGAAAAAATCAGAGATTGGACTGGGCAAAACCCTGGAAGATTTTGAAAACCAAGATGAAAATTTTCACTATTTAAACCTTTTCTGATGATGTATTTGCCGGCAGCATACATATATAAACAGGGCAGAAATGCACGAGAAGCTATGGTATAGGGATGGAAGAGAATGCAAGGCAGGAAATTTTCCAACAAGGCCTGAGCAGATAAGAGTGTAAATAAGCTATGACTATCTCACAGCTGAATAACATTAGAGAGCTCCAGGACAAGGGAGATGAAGTCAACTGTGTCAAAGGCTGCAAGTCAAGAAGGATGTAAAGAACACAGTCAGACAGAATGTTAATTTGACTTGAGTAAGTTGCTCTGGAAAGGACAGGGAGGTGAATGGCCGCTTCAAAAATATGAAGTTGTATTAAATTAGACACAGATTTGGAAGAAGTGTGAAAACCACAATTTTTTTCTTGCACTTCTCATTATAAAGGGGAATGGAAAAATAACTATTTTAAAGGCCAAAGATGGCTGGAGATCGCTGCATGTTTTAAAAGCTCTCATTGTCAGCAACATTTAGACTTTGAGTCGAGGATTGGTGAGTGCATAATTGCAAAGAAACTAATTGTTCTTGCCACAGTGCAACTTTTGAGGTCGATCCATGGCAGCGATCTCTGGAAATATGAGTTAATGCATCTTCAAGCGAACCAATGTGTATGCATGCACAGAGCCTCTGTGCAGTTGCACAGCTTAGAGTGAACAATAACTCTGTCACATAAACAGGAATGTAATAGCTTATCAGTGGGGAGGGGGGGGAAGGGATAAGTTGTTTTTAATGATGTTAATTGAGCGGAAAATATTGATAGATACACCAGAGAGAATTTCTTTTGAAATAGTGGTGTGGGATCTTTAATGCCTAGCTTCACTGAACTGAAAGTCAGCACCTCGAACAGTGCAGCTCTCCCTTAGTCTCCCTCAAAGGCACATGATGGTCTGGTGGTATTATCGTTGAGTTATTAATCCAGAAACCAAAAAATGTCAGAAGGAAACTGCTATCCTTACCTGGTCTGGCCTACATGTGACTCCACACCCACAGCATTGTGGTTGTCTCTTAACAGTCCTCTGGGATGGACATTAAATGCTGGCCTAGCCTGGGATGCCATGATCCCATAAATGAATATATATAGGTACTGTACTAGTAAGTTACGTTGTCATAGCCCCAGAGGCTCACAGGGCTGATCACTCATGAGCAAGAGACAACTGGAGGTAGCTTAACTTGACAGTCACCATACCTCAGGCAAGGGACAAGATTGACAAATTGGAAGCTACAAGGTGACCTCAGATAATACAGGCATCACTTTGTATTGCAAATCAGCCATCTAACCAACCTGACCCAAGAGAGTGTCCACCTGCCTCAACTTTGCCCTGAACTCTGTGCAATGAAGGCTTCTGAAGGAGAGAATCATAGAATCCCTACAGTATGGAAACAGGCCATTCAGCCCAACACTGCCCCTCCAAAGAGCATCCCACCCAGACCCATTCCCCTACCCCTGCATTTCCCATGTCTAACACACCTAACCTAAACATCCCTGTACACTATGGACAATTTAGCATGGCCAATCCACCTACCTTACACATCTTTGGACTGTGGGAGGAAACCCACACAGACACAGGGAGAACATGCAAACTCCACACAGACAGTTGCCCAAGGGTGGAATCAAACCACCTGCTGTGAGGCAGCAGTGCTAACCACTAAACCACCATGCCACCCCAGACAAAGGCTGACACAATCAGGAAGCACTCATTTTGCACGAACCCTGGGATTGAACCAGGGACCTTTAGGTCTTCAATCTAACACTCCCCCAACTGAGCTATTTCAGCTGGTGCATGAGAAATGATGGAAGTAAAGCCTAAACACCACAGGTATTTGAACCCAGGATCTTCTGTTTACTAGATAGGCGCCTTAACCAACTAAGCCACTGCTCGCACACCAACAACTCATAACCTACAGCAGTGTCATAGGTGCAGGGCCCGGAGAACAGGGGATGGGTTTAAAACTGTGTAGATCAGCTCCACATTAGGTCCAGGTTCATCAACTTAGCAATCAGCTGGCAGGATACAAATACTCTTCAATAAGAGACTTGATTAATGCACTACATAAAGCAGCAACTGCAATCTGATAAGAGAGAGAGAGAAAAAATATTGGTCTCAGTTATCAAAACCCAGGCTGACTCACAAAACACTACATGAATGAAGCTTTTTGTGGTTTTCAACAGTCCTTGTCTGTCATTACAGAACTCGTCATTATCTGTACTCAAGTGAACACAAGTGCAAGCCATTGCAATAAACAACAAAAACTAAAGGCCCCCAGTGACCATCCTGAAGAAAACATCTTTGATCCTAGCCGAGAGAGTTGTTATTCTGACTGAGAGCGTGACCTGCCCTGCTAGTTGGCAAACACAATCTAATCCCTCACCCTCCCCCAAGGTCCCCAGAGAAACACTTTGATCATCCATTGCACTGAAGTGAGCTTTTTCTCATTCTCAGTGACTCATCGGGCAACACCACTTAGGTCTTGTCACACATACCCAGTGGAGCATTGTGTTCGGTTCTGTACTTAGGGCACTGCATCTAAAGAAAGATCTTTTACGAATGTACAAGCAAGGAACAAGAGTAGGCCACTCAGCCCTTAAAGCCTGCTCCACCATTCAATAAGATCATGACATGATTTTAACTTCAACTTTCCATTCCTCAGGAACCTTTCAACACCTTGGCAATGGACAGCCCAACATCATTGGCGGTCCATCGCAGATAAGGATGACTCTCTTCCACTCTCAGGGTGAGTGTATAGGTGGCTGTACAGACCGATACAGCTACCACAGAGTCTGTTACACTTGGGGGCTGGTGGTGGTCATGGGAAGGGATGGGTAGAGCATTGGTGTGACAGTGTGCTCCTTTTGCTGGTTTCACCTGACTTCTACTTTTTCCCAACAGCAAGTCTCGAGGTGCTCGACGCCTTTTCGGAATGCTCCTCCTCCACTTTGGATGTTCTTTCACCAGTGATTCCCAGGTGCCTGTGGGAATGCCACACTTCACCCAATGAGGCCTTGAGGGTACCACTGAAGTGCTTCCTCTGTCCACATGGAGCTCCCCTGCCGTTTCGAAGCTGGGAGTGGAGAACCTGCTCGGGGACCCTCGTGTCAGTCATGCAGGTGATGTGCCCAACCCATTGTAGCCAATCAAGTTTGGTCAGTGCCTCAGTTCTGGGCATGTTGGGCTGGTCAAGAACTATCTCTTTAACACATGGTGGAGAGTGGTGTAGCACACAACTGGGGCTGAGAGGGTTATAGAACATAGAACAGTACCGCACAGTACAGGCCCTTCGGCCCACGATGTTGTGCCAAACGTTTACCCTAATCCTAAGGTCTATCTAACCTCCACCTCTGCCTTATACTATCATCCATATGCCCATCTAATAGCCGCTTAAATGCCCCTAATGAGGCCGACTCCACTACCCTCTCCGGCAATGCATTCCACAGATCATGAGGAAGAGTTTTATTGAGGCTTTGTGCAGTCTCAAGCAAAACAGATTAAGGAATAAAAATACAAAAGAACTGCGGATACTGGAAATCAGAAATGAAAACAGAAATTGCTGGAAAATCTCCGCAGGTCTGGCAGCATCTGTGGAGAGTAATCAGAGTTAACGTTTTGGGCTCAGTGACCCTTCCTCAGGACTCTTTTTTTCTGTTCATGTTTTGTTCTTTTTCCTTTCCGCCACACTACCATGGGGTAGCAGTAGTGCTTATTTTGTTCTCCATAATACCTGTGTTGCATGTGTTTATGTGCAGTGGCTTAGTAAAGACACCATGTGTAAAAAAACTTTATTCAATATTTCCACCATCAGGAAAAGACCCATATGGTCAGTGAACCAGTAATAAGCAAAGCCTGATAAGAGCAATAGTCGCATTACTCATTCTTTCTTATAAGAGATGAAGGGTTGATCTAACTGAGGTGTTTCAGAATATTAAAAGAGTAATCATTTGGCAACATGAAGTTTGAGCATTGCTGAAAATAAGATGCATTTTGTGTTTTGCACTCATCAGAATTATTTGCATGATTAGATGGAAGAAAAGCTTCAACAAAATGTATCTTTTTTTCAGCAATGCTCAAACTTCATGTTGCCAAATGATTACTCCTTTAATATTCTGAAACACCTGATGAGTGCAAAACACAAAATGCATCTTTTTTATCAGCGATACACAAGATTAAAGAAATCAATAGGATAGACAGAATGAAACTACTTCCTCTGGTGGGCGTTTAAAGTTGGGTCATAATCTTAAAGTTAGAACTGAGCAGTTCAGGGATGGTCTCAGGAAATATGACTCGATACAAGGACGAATGAAAATGTAGGAGTCTCTCACAGCAAAAACATTTGAGATTTGAGTCAGTTGAAAATGTGAAAACTGAACTTGATGGATTTATCACAAAAACAGAAATTGGTGGGAAAGCTCAGCTGGTCTGGCAGCATCTGCAGAGAGAAAACAGAGTTAACGTTTGGGGTCCAATGACCCTTCGACAGAATGGTCCTAATTACTCTCACCCCAAATAGCGAAACCCAGCAGAATTACCTGGTGTAATTTGATTTTCTATAGCCTGCAATTGCATCCCTATCTGAATCTGCTTTCCCTTTTAGTCTGGATAGGATGATGTAACCTTAAACATCCGGTCATTAATCAGTATGTGACTGTGAAAAGTGATAAAAATGCATGGTGATGGACGTTGAACAGGAACAATAGGATTATTTAAATAGTGTTTTTCAAAGACCCAGCACAGATAGATGGAGTGGCATCCTGCTCTCTATTCTCTGTCCATTCTGTAATTAGCCAATGACTCTATTTGTGTTTTTTTTCTTCATTTCTTCATGGACAACATTTGTTGCCCGTCCCTATTTGCCCTTGAACTGGGTAATTTGCTGTCCCATTTTGGTGGAAAACTGAAAATCAAGCAAAATAAAAACCGAAAGAACTGCAGATGCTGTTAATCAGAAACAAAAAAAAAATGAAATTGCTGGAAAAGCTCAGGAGGTCTGGCAACGTCTGTGGTGAGAAATCAGAGTTAACGTTTTGGGTCCAGTGGCCCTTCCTCAGAACTGCTGTTATGTTCTGTGTGGCCCAGCTTCCTGACCACATTACAATCACTACAATGCCCTTGACCACCCCAAGCATTAACCCAAACTGTGAGATTGTTAGTCTAGTGCAACTATAACTGCGAGTCTATCTCCCCTACTCCCATTTCACCAAGCAGCTTTACAAGAATTCATTTCTCTAGTGAATCCCATTATTTACATGAATTATTTTGTTTTTATCAGTATTCATGATTCTCATTTGAATGCAGTTTATTTCACACATTTTAAATTCTCCCTGCGAATCACACGCAGCGAGTGACGCTATCCATACATTGATGAGTGTTAAAAATAGTTACCAGTTATTTTAAAGAAAATCACCCACAAGTTGTAGGAAAGATGAATGACAAAAGACGCTGTGGAGGATGGACTAAAGTCACTATTGTCCCTCTCTGTCACTCATGGAGAGTTTAACCCGAGAGTCGCAATGCTTCAGATAAGGGCCAAGGTTAAAAAGGCAGGACCTTTGTGAACCCCAGCCAGTGCAGGCAGCAAACATACACTGTTGGTGACACTCTGCTTTGCTGTCCAGCCAGCTGAGCTAACCAATTCCCCGGAGGCTTGATTATCCCAGCATGCACAGTCGTAATGCTACCCTTTTATAAAGCTCAGTTGCATCAGAAACAGCTTGCTGTTTTTAACCATAATATTGGCAGGTGTCAGTGGTTCACAACTTGAAGTTTTTAACCTGAGAGCTATCCAACAATGTCAACGCTGTTTAAATGTGTACAAAGTTCCTTTGACAGCAAAAAAATGCTGTGCAGAGTATAAAGTACGTGGTCAGCATCATAAAGGACCTTGAGAGCTGTCAGTGAGAATGATCATGCCCTGCTTCTAAGAGTTTTTCGCTCTTTCTTACTGTTTATGTTTAGGTGTCTGCGTTTTTTTTTAAGGATCACGTTTTGAGATTGAGTTGCTATTTCAGAAAACATGCAAAATCTCTGGCTTTGCTGTAAATATTCCCACTTGATATAGAAAGAATGAATGAAGGGAGGCTAGGAAGATTTGATAGTTTAGGAAGGAATCTTCTCCATAGTTTATTTTTGAAAAGTAAGATGGCTATAAGCAAAGAACAATTTCCTGGAACTTAACATGAGCAACATTTAGCTGCAAAATGGTACCAAGGGGCATGCACTTGCATTTTTTTTTCATCATTAACTTGTTCAGAGTTGTTTTTAGACATGTCTGGAATAGGTGAGAGTTGAATCCAGGCCTAGGGTTGCAGGAACAAGGACAGTACTGTTATGCCATATCAGGAGTGATTTCTTTTTTTCCCCTCGTCAACCTGGATCACTCTGGTCTAGGAACAGGGACACTATCACCGCACCACAAGAGGCCCACTAGTGATTAGCCACAAAAACAAACAAGAGACAGCTGATTCCCATGCCTCATCTCCCTCACTAACAGCCCTACATTCCTGTTCTCCAGCCTCAATTTCTACCTCCTAACCCTGACAGCAGAAATATTCTGTTCACAAGGTAACCAATCCTCAGACACGTTGCTGGTTATCTCTTTTCATCAACTAGAAGTTTCCTGTTTCAACCCTAAGATTCCCAAGCTTCTTGCACCTTTGTCACAATGATTGTGCATTATACCAACATTACATCTTCTCAATGTCAGTGCCATTGTTGCATCCCAGGATGAATAATTATAATTCACCCTTCATCTCCCATCATGTGAATTTACTCTGCATGTGTGAGTAAAACGAAGGTCTCAAATTTCTTGACACTGCCTGAGTTTTCGATTAAAATGCTGCAGAGGCCATGGAGGCAGAGGAGAAAACTCTATCGCTTGAATGGTTTAAAATTAATAAATTAAGAAATATTAGATAGCTTAATGTTGATAAGGCTCCAGGCCAGCACAGTGATGCAGTAGTTAGCATTGCTACCTCATAGCACCGCTACCTCATAGCACCAGGATTCCGGGTTTGAATCCACACTTGTGTGACTGTCTGTGTGGAGTTTGCACATTCTCCCCATGTCTGCGTAGGTTTCCTCCGGGGGCTCTGGTTTCCTCCCACAGTCCAACGATGAGAAGGTTAGGTGGGTTAGCCATGCTAAATTGTCCATAATGAGGCTAGGTGGATTAGCCGTGGGAAATGCAGGATTACAGGAGGGTATAGTAGGGTAGGGGTCCAGGTGAGATGCTATTCTGAGGATCAATGTGGACTTGGTGGGCCAAATGGCCTGCTTCCACACTGTAGGGATTCTATGACCAAATGAGTTAAAATGCTCAGAGTGGTGATGGAGAAACAATGGGCTGAATGGCCGTCTTTTGACTGTAAATATTCTGTGATTCTGTGAAAATCGTATTCTGCTGTAGCTGGATTTGCAAATACCATGTGTATTTCCTGGGGATGTCAAATGATCACAACAGCCTTTATCGATAAGTCTACTCTGTCTTCTCTAACACAATTTTTAGTTCATGAAAGTCTCAGGTATTAAAATCTACTGAAGAAAGTGGAACATTGAAAGTTTATTTTAACTCAAACGACACTACCTCCCAGATAGAAAATAAATATTCAAAACACCGATATGTTAATTTCTACTGTTGCTGAGCACAATTTTGACTCACAGATAGTGGTTATTTTTCTTTGTCAATATTATCAGGTGTTGTCAATATTAGTTATCCCCAGTTATTTCAACCGTAGTTGGAAAGACAGAAATAAATGATTGCATTTATACCAGAGATAGTAGGAACTGCAGATGCTGGAAAATCTGAGATAACAAGGTGTAGAGCTAGACGAACACAGCAGGCCAAGCAGCACCATAGGAGCAGGAAGGCTGACGTTTCGGGCCTAGACCCTTCATCAGCCTTTCTGCTCCTATGGTGCTGTTTGGCCTGCTGTGTTCGTCCATCTCTATACCTTGTTATCTCTGCATTTATACTGCACTGTTTGCAAACCTCAAATGATTGACAGCCACTTTTGAAATGTAGTCAATGTTTTAACAAGGGAAACATGAGGGTTTGTTTATGTAGTGCAGGGCCCTACAAGAAGCAATTCCCAAATGTCATGATGGTGCTCTTTGGGAAATAAATGTTGGTTTGGGCCACCTATGAGAATTCTTCCGCAATTATCTGCAACATCAGATTTCACCTTGCCCTGAGACCACAGGGAGGGTCTCGGTTAATTTAACATCACACCCAACAGGTTGTATGTAGAGTTTAAATGTATCAGAAAATAAAAGTGACAACAACAAGGAAAACCTCTTGCTACAAAATCCTGGTGCTGACTGTAACATAGACGGAAGTGTGGCAACATTGACAAGACTTGTTGGAGCACTTGTTTTAGCTGCATCAACAAGCCTGGGGCAGAACAGTGGCTCAGTGGTTAGCACTGCTGCCTCATTGTGCCAGGGAGCCAGGTTTGATCCCAGCCTCAGGCAACTGTCTGTGTGGAGTTTGCACATTCTCCCCATGTCTGTGTGGGTTTTCTCCGGGTGCTCAGGTTTCCTCATGCAGGTTAGGTGGATTGGCAGTGCTAAATTGCCCATAGCTTCTAGGTTGGGAAAATGCAGGGAGTGGGTCAGGGTGAGATGCTCTTTGGATGGTCAGTGTGGACTCAAATTGCCTGCTTCCACACTGTAGAGATTCTATGGTTCTTGTGCTGGAGACATCGCAGTGTTAAAGTAATCCATTGCAACAAAGTTGTCATTTCATTATAGAGGGCGATGTAATGAAAGATAGGAGGGCACAGATTGTGAAAGAGAAAGAAAGTCAGAGACTGACAAATATAATGTCAGAATTAGACTCAGAGGAAAAAGTCAAAGTTAAGAATCTACCTTGATGGACAAAATAGAGAAGGGTACAAGAGAGAAAATAATCTGAAAATAGTACAAAATCAAAAGATGGAGAGATATACAGAAAAATAGAGAAAAAGGAGAGAGAGAATGGAAACAAAGAATGAAAGAAGTGCATCCCAAAACTGTGTAAAGTTGAAAAATGGTCTGATAGATAAAGGGATGCATGTAGAGAAATAACAAGATGGAAAAGTAGGGAGAAATACTCAGAGAAAAGAGATGCAGAGGGGTAGATGGAGACTGACAGAGTAAATGATAAATACACATCATTGCACACCATTTTTAGACCAGTATGTGCAGTAAAAAGAGATAACAGAAAGTAAATGGGACTCAGTGTGGGAGCCAGGCTTTGCATGGAAGTGATTTAACAGCTCGTGTTTTTTTTTTCATTTTTATTTTAAAAAAACTGAAAATGAAATCTGCTTCCAGTTGTATTAACTTGTCAAACATGTGGCAGCATGTTTTGTAAATCTTCACCAAACAAGTGTGGTGCAAGAAGAGTAATTGAGATGTTACAAATACCGGTAATTAATTCTGCGCAGCTATTTCCTATTCCTAAGTCCTGTCACTAAATAAGTGTTTAGTATTCATGGCATCATGGATTATTATATTGTACCATTGGGATACACTCTCTGCCACTCTGCTATTTGGTTCAAAGGCATTTTCTTGTGTTTATAAAATATTAATTGAAGAGTTCATGATTTGCAATTTTGTTATGCTAAATGTTCACTTTAATTGTCCACTGTCCTGTATCCAATGCAGCATAATTTGGCTGACATGCCCACAAAAGGAATTGGAAAGTAGAGTTTAAGTGTCATAGTTGATTTTCATGTTGGAGACTGACTCTCACCATCAGGTCATCTTTCAATTAGGGCCCAGGGCAGGTGGATTGGAGCCAGGCTGAGCTTTCACCTTCAAAGCTCTTCATTCATATTCAAGGCAGCAATTGAGAGGTGAGCAGATGCCCTACCATTTGTGAAGTGCCCCTGTATGACATTGCTGTCTGAGAGATGATTGAGGAGGAAAAGGAGAAAAGGAAAAGGCTTGCATTTCTGTAGTGCCTTTCCTGACCCCTTGCTTGTTCCGAAACACTTTACAGCCAATAACATGTAGTCACTGTTGCAGTTTGGGAAATGCAGGAACCAATTTTTGTGCAGCACGTTCCCACAAATAACAATGTGACAATGGCCAGATACCATACTTTGTTCCATGGAGACCCTTGAGAGGTAACATTTGGCACCAGAATACAGCAGAGTCTTACAATAACAGAAGTTGCTGGAAAAGCTCAGCAGGTCTGGCAGCATCTGTGAAGAAGAAAATCAGAGTTAACATTTCGGGTCTGGTGATCCTTCCTCAGTTCTCAGCTGCCAGACCTGCTGAACTTTTCCAGCAACTTCTGTTTTTGTTCCTGATTTACAGCATCTGCAGTTCTTTCGGTTTTTATTTAGAGTCTTAAAATATTGCTTGCTAACAGTACCAGCATATTATGGGTGGATTTGTTAAGTTTGTATTGATATTAGTCACACTACTGGTTTCAATGATGTTGAGGTGCCGGTGTTGGACAGGAGTGGACAAAGTCAGAAATCACACGACACCAGGTTATAGTCCAACAGGTTTATTTGAAATCACAAGCTCTCTGAGCATTTCTCCTTTGTCAGGTGACATCAGGTGATAGCAATGATGGAGCAATGCCCACTTTTCAAGCAGAAGGCCAACTCAGTCTTGATCAGAATTTATCACATGTTACTGAATAACTGGTTACACTTCTTCTCAGGTACAGGATTGTTTCTTGTGGGACATCAGGCTCAACTTAAGATTAAGTACACATTACTGCTGCTGTAACATTCTCACACAGTGCAGGTAACAAGCAGAGATTTAGAAGCAGAATTGATTAAGACACAAACACACAAATCCCTAAACTTCCTCCCAGGAGCAGTCTTTTACATCCTAATGGGTGAAGCTTCTCTTCTGATGCCAGTTAGCTCTATTGCATACTAATACAAAACAGAGAACAATCTGCTCAGTCCCAAGGTATCATGTGACTTCTTTAACCTCTCCCAAGTGGCTATTTTCACACTTCCGTGATCTGATGGGCTATCAAGCAACTGATATATTAAACCATCTCAACATCTTAAAGGGGCAGATGCACATTACAACAGGCAACACTGAAAGAGAATTAGAATCAGTTGTCCTTCATACTAGACTGAAGGCAACATTCCAACTGCTGCACTTGGCTAAGACATCAAAGATCAAACCTGAGACCTTTCTGACAAACCAGGAGAACCAAGCATTTGAGCTTGCCCTGAAGGAATAGAAGAAAACATGGAATCACAGAAGGGTTGCAGCATAGAAAGAGGCAGCTCAGCCCATCATGCCT